TCGGATTACTTTGTTGGTGGTCAGCCGACCAGACGTTTCTCCAATGGTAGGATTGCCACGGACTTCATTTTGGAAGCCTTCAGGATCAAGCCCGTCATACCTGCTTACTTGGATCCCAAGTATGACATAAGAGATTTTGCTACCGGGGTCTCGTTCGCTTCCGCTGGAACCGGGTACGATAATGCTACCTCCGATGTCCTGGTAAGTCGAGCGACGGCTCACCAATAGTTATACCATCTTACCGACAATTTGCGTCTCATTTTCTTGGCCTTGATTTGCAGTCAGTGATACCATTTTGGAAGGAAATGGAGTACTACAGAGATATCAGCAAGCTAAGAGGGTACCTAGGCAATGACAAAGCTAATCACCTTTTGAGTGAATCATTGCACCCTTTTAAGCATAGGAAGTTAGGAACCAATGACTTCCTAGAGAACTACTACATTTTCCGACCCGATCATCACAGTATCCGGTCGATAAATACGAGGATTTCCTGATAGGAATCGCCAGCAATTTAATCAGGAGCTCGGAAGGTAGCAATAACCGGCCTTGCTCCGATAGGATGTTTTCCGTTGGAAAGGACAACATGGCTAAAGTTTTCAACGTAAAGTTACAGGGGACCATCACAGAGATGAATCAGGAACTCGGTGGAATCCAAGTTGTGATGCTGAACATCTACGAAAAACTCTTGGAAATGATTCGTAATCCAACTCGGTTCGGTAAGCCATTGTAGGCCCCATCGTCGAGCGTTCGAGATGCATTTCCGACCCGCATGTGCCCTGGTGTGACTGTGTGAGCGCACATGCATTAAGACATGCGTTTTCAACATATTCGGTCACAACTGACGAAAATCTTTACAATAATGACAGGATTCGAGAATGCAGAACATCATGCTGTGGGACTGAATACTTCGAGATGAGTTACCTGTATGATAAAATGGTTTACATGTTCGGATGCAAATAAATACATATTCTGGCACTCGTTTCACCGGAGAAGACAAATCTCATTATCGCCGGCCACCTCGTCAAAACAGCCCTTGCCGTGTTCCGATGATCATTAAAAACCAAAAAAGAGACACCTGTTCATTGTTGCAGAACTAGCAGGACATACTATTATTCAATTGGTGGAAAGGGACCTCATGATAAGAAATATAAGCATTTTTTTACCTTTATTTCGCTCACTTGTATATTTTTATGCTTTAAGGATATATAAATTGAATTTGAATCTCCTTGTTCCAAGTATTCAAATTAATGGAAATTTCTTGATGATAACTCTGCAATTCTCCAAAATGAAAATGATGGCTTCTAGTACAAATAATTTGATTTCTAAATTAAGGTCACGATGACACAATAAAAGGATCCAAACCTGTCAATAACAGAAGGGTAAATATACATTTTTGGTACTTAAAATTAACTTTAAATACAATTTAATATTATTATTTTCCAATCAGGTTTGTATAACTTTAAGATTCAATTTGATACCTAAAATCTTTTGAGTCTAATTAAATACGTAAACATAATTTATTAATTCAAATTAGTATTCTAACTTCGCTGTATGGTACTTAATGGACTTATTTGGATTAATTTATACTATAAAACAAGTTTAAGTACCAATTTGAACACAAAAAATCAAATTCAATAATCAAATTAGACAAGCATAAGTTTGAGTGAAAAGTTAAATTAACTAAATGATAAAAATAAGGCTTAATAAGTGTCTAAACAATATTGTTTCTCATTTAGGTGTCTAAACCTTTTTTCGGACAATTCAAGTACCTATCGTTTTCGATGTTGCGAATATTAAATTCCTCCGTTAAGTGACAAGCGTTACGCTCAAGTATACACCGTAACAATTACAACACAAGTTCTAAGATATTTTTATTTCTGTCGCATTTTTACCGATAGTTTACAAGTCTCAGCATCAAACCCACAATATCTTTGATATAACAGCTTAATATAGAACATTGTTGTTTACCATTTCAAAGTCGAAATATTAAACATAAAACTCTCCAAGACTCCAGCTGAACATGAACAGCTCTAAAAGCTAACACAGATGTAATATTGCAACAAATTTGGATCAAGATTGATATTTAGAATCAAGATTTTTGGTGAGAATGCAGGATTTTATGTTATGGAACACTTAAAACTTGTAAGATATATCATATTTTCTCAAATTGGTCTATATCTATAATATGAAAATTTCAAACGTCAATATTCATCTAACACCTGATGTATATGCACAATATTAATCATTTTTAATCTCAACAAATCAATGTATATTAAATGAGGAAAAAAAACTTCAATTTTAGTTCATTTGAGATGTAACAATGGCAACACGTAATCTCACAATCTTATCATATATATTTTTTTATTAAAATATATGTTAAGGGTATATAGGTAAATGATTATAAATATATTTTTAAATTTTTTTTAAAATATCAGGGATTCCTACGGATATTTTTTGGGATCCCCACGGTTATTCACATGGGTATGGTTCGGTTATTCTCATGGTTTGAATATAGCAATCCACGTCCTCATCCCCATTTGAGTTTCAGGGATAAAATTTTCCCATTCTCATCCCCGTGGGCGAAGATTTCGATTATTCTTCATCCCCGTCGGTTCGGATCCCCACAGTTTTCGGTTTTCCCCCATCCGATTGCCACCCCTAGCGAACATGTTCGTTTATATGTTCATGAATGTATTCATGAACATGTTTATTTATATGTTCACAAAAGTGTTTATGAACAAGTTCGTTTAACGTTCATTAGTGTTCGTTTAGCATTTTTTTTGTGTTTGTTTATCGTTCGTTTATATTCGTTTTTAATTTCATTTGTAGGCTAAAAAATATTAAAATTACACCACTAGTGCCTAAACTTTTTAAAATTCATATTTTATAATGCAACTTTTATTATGTGTACTATTTAATCCTTATCTTCACCAATATTTAAAGTGTAAAAAAATAAAAGGAATAAGAGAATTTGGTAAACAAGTTTGTTCATTAACATAAATGAACGAGTTGATAAATGAACTCATAAACGAACTCATAAACGAGCTCATAAACGAACCGAACACACCTCTGTTCGTGTTCATTCATTTATTAAATGAACATAAATTTTTGTTCATGTTCGTTTATTTAACTTAACAAACGAACGTTATACGAACTGTTCATAAACAATTTACCAAACGTTTTGTTCATTTACACCCGTACTTGTATATTGGGTAGCATCGCAAGTGGGACAAGCTAACAAAAATATGGGACGCAAAGGGAGTTGTACAGCATGTGTCACAAACATGATGTTGGGTCTTTTGGTCCTAAGATCAAGTGGTCTTAATTTGGCAGAATCTGATTAAGCTTGTCGTTCACAGATCATCAAATGACAGCTCGGACAAAGGACTTAAAAATGGAAGGCTACTTATCCCAATCTATGGAGAAGATTCCATCAAATCTCTCAGCAAAATTTGGTCTATTTTTATTTTTAGTCGCTGCTATTTTGAAATTTAGAATTTAAACCTAATTTGATCTTCTACTTTTATAATACTATTAGTGGCTCCAAATTGATAAACACAATTGGTTTCTTCTGTTATAAGTCTGCTTGCTGAGAACTACTTTAAACAGTTGCCTGCTAGGAATTTTCCTCAATATCAAATTTGCACCCATTTGGGATCATTATTGTCCTGTTTTCTTAAGTGAATTTGTTCTCTCTTCATGTTCTTTGTATTATTGGGAAAAAGAAATATATACCATTCATCCAACTTCACCAAGGCCTTCATAAACCTTCTATTGGATGCATATATACTACTAATGAAGACCCAAATTTGGGTGCAGCCCATTTAGACACTGCATATGAAAAATAAACCAATAGTCACAGAAGATATGATTGGTGCAGCTGAAACAGCAGACACAGCGATACGATTGGTTTCCCAGTCTCCATTACCAACTTTTGCTCTTGCTTCAAGATTTCACCAATTTCTCTAGGGTTTCGTTCACCAATCAAAACTTTTGATTTGAAAACAAGAGAGAGAACATCAAAATGGAGGGGGGAAAATAAAATAAAAGGGAAAGGACAAGAAAATGGATGAATGCATTATGCATGAACCACCAAAGGCATATATGCCCATACCGGAAGCATCCTTGAAACATCTCGATCCTGAAAACATGTCATTATCGGTCAAAACCCGGTAAGAAACTTGTTTCAAAAACCAAAACCGAACACCGAACAGTGCCAATTGGAAACTTCCATGAAGTTAGATCAGATTTCAAGGTGCCTTCCAATGCAACCAAAGATGATTTAACAATCTACAATGATGTGCAGATGCAATGATCTTCATCTGTTTTTTTTTTTTTTTTGCTGTTGTTATATGGGATGCGAAGAGGATATGATTAAAGTTTTAAAATTGGGAAATTAAATTGATTCACGGCTAAGGTATGATAAATTCTGTCACAAGATAGATTTTATTGTAAAAATTCCATACATCTACCATATTTACTATCACCCATTAACAAATATGCGACATGTTGAAGATTCAACACAAGAGAGAAGGTTGAAGAACAAAAGCTGTTTCTTTTTTCCACAAGATAAAGGAATCAAACTAATCAAATGGAAACAAAAACAAAATGGGGGGAGACAAGAAACCTAAATACAGATCTGATAATAACTTAACAAGACATTATTTCATCATTATTATCTTCCTAACCACAACATTATCATCAATGAATGGCAAAATGGAAAAGCCTTTTCTTTCATCTCATTCATTTCTGCATATTTTAGCCTGTTCTTTTCTTCCTGAAGAGCAAATGAAAGCAAAGAAATGCAGGAAATGGTCGATGTAATCCATTTGTGGGGGGATATTATACAAAGAAAGATATATCAATAAGTTAAATGAGACTTGATAACATTACAAACCCTAAATCTTCTTCATATCATAATCATATTTCAAACAACAAAGATATCATCATTTGATAAAAATTAAAGGGTTCAAAGCTCATAATCGTAGAGGTTAAGACCATTTCATCTTAACCATGTCTCATGTTTTTTCCTTTTTTTTCTTCGCTTAAAAAAGAGCTAAATTTTAAAAAAAGAGAAGATTCAATAATCGACCATCGTTGCCGTCGTCGATTCATCACTGCCACCGTGTTCAGAGACAGAGAGCGGTACACTGGGGATCATCGTCTTCATCCAACGGCGTAAAATTAAGATCGAAAGGCAAAGTTTTCCTGCACGAAGAAGAGGCGATATCTCCGTCGTCGACAACCGATGACGATGAATCACAGTCACTTTGACAATCCTCCGGCACCACCGGCGGCGTCCTTGGATGGTATTTCTTAGTTGAAACCACCGCAAAATCCGTCGATTTGTGAGGCGGAGGTTGAGCCGGTCTCGGTCCACTAAACGACTCCACCGTGCTACTCATGCCACTCCTCGTCGGTCTCTGCGGATTCACTTCGTGCTCGTGAAAATTACCCATCAGATATAATCGGTGCTGGTCGATAAACCCATCGTTGCTGTGATGATGACTCGTATCGAAAGGAAAAGCCGGTAGATTTGAAGAATTTAAGGGAAAATTTGTTTTTGCTTTGGGTCCACGGAGTGACCTCGCCGCCGCATCGTAAGCCCGAGCAGCATCCTCGGCCGAGTCGAAGGTCCCTAACCATACTCTGGTCTTCCTCCAAGGGTCCCGAATCTCGGCCGCAAATCTGCCCCATGGTCTTTTTCTCACACCTCTGTATCTCGGCTCTTTAAAAGATCCGCTGGGTTGTAGTGCCGGTTTCGTAGCCACGGCGTTTGCTGCGGCCGCAGCGGCACCTCTACCTCTTCTCATCGGAAAAATATTTTTTTAGAAAAAAAAAACTTTAGGATCACCCAATCCCTTCAAAAGGGTAATACAAAATCAGATTTAAGGATTAAAAAGATTGAAAGAATAGTAATAATATTTATAACAATCAAAAGGGGTTGATGAGAAGATCACAAGATTAACCCGAAAAAAATTAAAAAAGAAAGAAGCAAACTGAACAAATCAACCCACCCAAAACCAACCTATTTATGAATCCACAAACAGAAACCAGGAGAGATTGAATATAAAAGGGGAGAGAAAACAAAGGAAATGGGAACAAGGAAAGAAGGAAGATTGAAATGGCAAGGAAAGGGAAAGCTAAACAGAGGAAGAAGACGATTGGTGGGCAAAGAACTGGATGGCACCAGAAGAGAGGCCCTTTCTCTTCTACACACAAAATAAAATTAAAAAAATAAATTTTTATTTTCTTTATTTTTCAAAAAAATAAATTAATTTTCTTTTGGGAATTGAGTTTTTTTTTTTTCTCTTTCTTTTTTATGGCTTAAATGATTTTCCTTTCTACCTTCTCTTGCCCCCACATGCCGACTCCCTTCATTTATTTTTCTGGTTTAATTTTAGTATTAGTCCTTCCACTATGCTTGACGTTAAGATTTAATTCTTTATTTTTCTAAGGGCATCAATTGATCCGTATTTATAACACAACTACACACTAAAATTACAACAAATCTAATTTTAATCTTATTAAGAGGGAAAGGAAAATAGAGGATTTTAAGAGAAGAAAAAGTACTTTTAATAGGTCTAAATCCAATTCTTTAAAAAATATAAAAAAATAATCATGAACAATTTTATCAATCGATTAAATACAACTACTCATTATGTGAATTTTCATGATCATATAAAAACATTGTTGTTAATTTTCATACATACGTTTATGAAGTTATTAAAAATAATATTTATATATGTCGATTCGAGTTAAAATGTTATGAGTATTTTTTTTATATAATATTGACTTCTCATTTTAATCTCGATTTTTTTAAATACTCTAATTTTTTTTTCATTTTAATTCCGAAAAAGTTGAACTAAAGTTATCAATAATTATTAAATATTATTTTTGGAAACTATTGCTAACTTTAGACAGCACGTGACAACTTTATATTCACTATAAAAAAAATAGTTGATCTTTATTCCCATATATAATGGGGTAAGGGGAGGTAAGATAGTAGGTTACCTCTAATATCAGGTTGAGAATAACTTCCGTAGAAGACCTCCGAATTATGAAATGCCCTCCGTGAGACTCGATTTCATGATCCTAAAATTAAAAACCTTATACTCTACCAACTGAGCTGGAATGTCATTCTAATCTTTTGACGATTTTATCCTAACTTTGTGTATTTTAAACACCTAACAATGCGTTCTGCGTGTGAATAATTGAAATTTTAGCAAAAGTTTTATGGGGTTTTGAGTCTTTTGACTGATTTCCCCCCCCCCCTAATATTAGTATTAAAATGAGTGTCATATGTTTGTTTCTTATTCTTTATAGGAAAAAAGAAAGGGAAACAAATCTTGGGTTCAGAGAATGATTTGATTTGATCTTATCTTTTGCGCCAAATTAAAGTAAAATTGCAGCCTTTTCCCGCCAAATTCTCTGTGTTTTTCTCAACTTTGCTTGTGTGTTACATATGTTTTATATTCCTCGAATAATATTTTCCATAAAATCTAATTAATTTATAATATTTTAATGAAAAATAAATTTATAACTTTCAAAATACACCAAATCAACTAAAACAAGATTGATATTAAAAAATTATAACTTATTTAATAGATGTTAAAGTTTTATACACATGAACACAAATATTATTAAGTTGAGATTTAGTTTACTATAATATTAATAAATTAATTTTTTTTCTGATCATTTAGAAAAAATAATATTTTTTATGATTAAACTCATTCAATAGGTTATATTCACCATAATTTAAAGTACAATTACACGGAACTAAAAGTAAAGAAAAATCCTAATGTAAAATACAATAAAAATTATTTTGAAATAAAAATTCAAGGGAGGAAACGGAATAATGAAATTATGAATGAATTAGCACAATTAAACCCTACCCGTAGTACTTAAACTATCTGTTTTGATCTGCTTTAATATTTAAATTATACTCTACGCACCTAAATGGAAAAAAGATAAATTATGTATTTAGTACCTAAATTATCAGTTTTGATATGTTTTAGTACTTTTAATTTTTTGAAAATCATACTTGATGTTTAGTTTCTGTTTTATTTTAGTATCACGTCGTCAAAAAATCAACGCTCTTAGTACCTTTACTATCCATTTTAATACTTAAACTTTTAGTTTTTTTTCTTTCAAAAGTTAACATTACATTTAAAACATGATACTAAAATAAAACAAAAACTAAACATTACGTATAATTTATTTTAAAATAAAAAAATTTAGATACTAAAACATATCGAAACTGATAATTCAAGTATTAAACACGTAGTTTACCAAAAAAATTCTAACATCTAATGGTGATATTATTATTGAACCCATTCCCAATATATTATCACGATAACAGATAAAGTCGAATGACTCTTTGGTCTTATAGATTTTAATCAATTTAAGCACAATTATTTTAAATTTAAGGATTTGAATGTGGTTAAACACTCTTATACCTAATCTAAAGATTTTAAAAGATTAATTATAATACTATATAAGAACACTAAAATAATAAATGATTAATTTTATATAATTTTAAACAATTCATATTTCATTATTATTTGATTTTATACGATTTATTTATTAAAAATATAAATAATAATTTGATTTTCCTCGCGAAAATAAAAACAAAAACAAAAGTGTTTTACTTGTAGTGGCCTAGGAAAGGAAGAGAAAACAAAGATGAAGAAAACTATCAAATTTTATTTTTGAAAAAATAGGTTTAATTAATTAATTAACTAATTAAATTGATTTTGATTTTTCTTCTATGCTTTGTGGTTCGAGTCTAATAAGCCTTTATATTTATTGGGCCAACCCTAATGCTTTTGGTATAACTACCGTCCGTCATGGCTCATGATTAGTGGCGCTGAGAAGGGCATAAATATTCGATTTTGCGTAAAAAATATTTGAAATTAATTCTGAATTTGGGAAAATTAAATTTTTTAAATCGGATCAGATATTTTAAAATCGGATAGTATAACCGGTTTGGAAAAAAAATTAGACGATCGGATTTTTTACCGGATTAAAAACCGGATAAAAGGAAAAAAAATCCGGCCTGGGGTTTAAAAAATTGGATGACCTAGGTTTTTTTAAAAACCTGTTTTTTTCAAACCAAAACCGATTACACCGGTTATATCATCCGGTCCTCTAAATCGGTTATGATCCGAACCGATTTTTTTATAAACCGATTTTTTGGCTTGGTGAAAAAACCAAATCAGTTTTTATTCGATTCGGATCGAATTTAAATCCGGCTATGTGCATCTCTAGTGGCACTGTCCCAATATCCATCATATGGTTGATTAAACATCTTAGCTAAAGTTTTATTATTATTTTTTTTCTTTATCAAATCGTTCAATTGAAAAACTCCACCGAAGCTTCAAAAATACAATTGATTACATTATACGAAAGGAGGTTTATCATTAGGGATTATGACAATTAAGCAGTGCTCTTAATCATAAAGGATCTTATGGAAGACCAATATGAATGGATTTAAATTTATGGGGGTAAAATGGAAATTCTAGGTCAAGAATAACTATTTCATTTCATATGGTATCTATTTTGGTGATTGTATATGAAATTTTTTAATTTTTTTATTAATACGAGGATATTATTATTCCAAACAAATTTAATCAATTAATAATGAAATCTTTTATATTTTATAATCATAATTGCTAAAAAAAGTAGTAGTTTATTTTACCATTAATAATGTTTAATAAATATGAAATTCTTAATCTTAAAATATAAACTTGACTAACATCGTATACTAGATTTAAATATTTAATTTATTTTCTATAGTTATAATAAGAAATGATAATTTCACCTGCATTCGACGGTTTCGACATCGGGTCAGAATTTTTTTAAATCAAGTTAAGGTTGGGTCGGGTCATATTTTTTAAGGGATGAACTCGGGTCGAATCCAGTGGAGGGTTAAAAAAACTCCAACATGAGGATAATAATGTAATTTTCTTAAAAAAATTTATTATTTTGTTAATTAAATTCTTATTTTATATTGTATCTGAACGGATTGGGTCAAATTTATACTCTAAAAATCAGATCAAATTGGAGTCAGATGAAGAGTTTATATTTTTATAAGTCAAGTCGAGTTGGATGTAAGATATTAAACTTTCGAGTCGAGTCAAATTGAGGTGGAGGGTATATATTTTCAATTTGGGTTCATCTAAAACCCGACCATAACCTGACTCGTTGTCATCCGGTTATAATGATACTTTAAGGAATATTTAATATGGTTACACTCAACTATCAAATGATTTTGGAAGTATATTCATAATTTGGTTTATTTTTTAAAATTAGTAATATTTAAACCTTTATATTTATTCTTCAATAATATTTAAATTACATGTGTATTTTTTATAATTTTTTATGAATATTTATTATCAAATAATAAAAAACTACTTATCTTTTATTCGTTCCATATTATTCGAAGATAAAAATAGAAACTATACTATTCTAAAATTTTGAATTTAAATTCCTCTTCTATTAATATAATCTCTTTCATATAAATGAAATCAAAATTTATAGTAATAAAATGTAGGGTAAAGTACATAAAATATTATTCGATTATAGAGTGTTATTTTGATGAGTTATTCAACTATTAAAAGTTATAAGATGATTCACCAACAATAGAGTATTATTTTGTTAAATCCCCAACTATTAAAATTTATAAAATAACCACTTAACTATTCACATATTTTGAATTCATCATTTTTGTTAAAAAAATTATAGTAATTTCTATTAAACTTTAATCTATTTATTAGGATATGATAAATTTTAATTCAATAATCTCACATAACTATACCACTCAAAAAGTTATGAAATAAAATTTTATTATATCTAATCAACATGTTAATATTGAAATTAGACAACTATCAATTTTTTAAAAAATAAAAAATTTGATATATATTAGATGATTATTTTATATTTTTTAAAATTATTTATAATTTTTAATAATTA